AAGCGCATGTTGCGGATCACTTGGGGAACATGTGCTAAAACGGGTGCCCTAAGTTTTAGTTCCTGGATTTCCCGAAGCACGAATCCCTCCATTTCCACAGCCACACGAACGAAGTCATGTAATTTACAGCACTTGCCGTGTATGCCCTAAATCATACAGGCCTGCCCCCCAAATCTTCCTCTGTGTGACTTACCACGTTTTCCGGGTCGCAGAGTTGTCAAAAGCGCTAGTTCAAGGTTTGTATTTCCGGTCGTAGTCTCGTCGAGGATCAAGGGAAGAAGTAGCTGCGTCGGGATCACCTGCGGCCCGGATCTTACCGCCCTAAACCCACAACCCTCAACCCTCAACCCTAAATCCTAAACCCTAATAAATCCTAAACCCTAAACCACCCATTCGTGTGGCCGGCTTCGCTCTTCAGCTTGAATTGGGCTCCGTGGGGCCCTGGGATTCAAGTTTTTGCTTGCTTTTCCCTAGAAGATTCCCTTCCACCCAGCCCCTGAATCAACATGGATGCGCATACAGGTTTAGTGCAGAGTTTGGGGGGGGGGTAGCAGTCTACAGAGAATCTGGCGTCTCCTTATTCACAGATCGAACTCGGTGAAGATTTACGTAACGATTGAGTGTTGTAGCTCAGGGTTGTGGGAGGGTAGGGTTTGTGGGGAGGGTTTCCAAGGGGTTCCAAAAAGCTAGGATGGAGGTTCAGGTTTTGTTTGGGGCTAGGATGCGTGCGACTTTTCGTACATTTGTACAGCACCACCTGGACGATGGTTCAGCGGGCTCCTCCCGAATGAATCCTTACGGCTGAACTTTATCAACCGCACATCCTGAAACTAGATTAAATCAAATTGCAAACTTGTGGAGGTACTTCTGAGTGAGCACTTGGTATCCCTTGTTCATGAATCTTGCTGCATACCTTGGAAGTGTTTTTTGACCGACCCTAAACCGTGAACCCTAAACTCGATGCCCTTAGCTCAAAAACTGTAATCCCTAATGCCAAAAACCATCCTTGATGAAGGGGTAGGCCGTTTTGAGTCCGCTTGGACGATGGGAGAATGTAGGGCCCCCCACGTAGAGGTTTAGTGTTTAGGGTCTAGGGTTCTAGCCTAGAGCCCTGGACCCTAAACTCTAAACCCTGGTAGCGTTTAGGGTTTGAGGCTTTAGGGTTTAGGGTTAGGGTTTGAGGTTTACGGTTTGGTAAGGGTTTAAGTTTAATCCTGAGGGTTTGAGGTTTACTACTTTGGTTGAGGCAGTGACGTCGAGGTTTCGTTTTGGGCTTTCTGTTCGTCAAAGTTGTGCAAGACCGGGCTGCGTCAACCCGTCTTGCAGTAGTGGAGGATACTAGGCCAGGTGCCTGATACACCGAGTGTGGCAACTATTGCTATATGGGAGGCTTACCTCACTCTACTGTGGTCGTTCCCTCCCTGATCCGAGGTGGGTGAATCTGTGCTGGGCTGGAGGGCCTTTCTGCTGGTCGGAGCCTTGAATCCTACCTAAACCCTAAACCCTAAACCCTAAACCCTAAACCCTAAACCCTAAACCCTAAACCCTAAACCCTAGACTCAAGCCTACACCCGAAGCCCGAAATCCAAAGACTCTGAATCCTGAGCCCTAAACCCTAAACCCCCAAGCCGAAAGTCCTGACTCTGCAGCCCGAGCCATACGTATACATGAGGATAGGAGTCAGGCCTTTGGGATTTGCCATGGGCTGAGAGTTTAAAGCCGGCTGGCAGTTGCCAGAATAGTACCGGAGCGACGCATGTAGCTTGACCTGATTCCCTAAACCCTGAACCCTAAACCCTAAACCCTAAACCGAAAGAAACTCCTGCTTGTGCTGGCGCTGCTGGCTGCTGGCTTCAAGCTTTGGCAGAGTCTGACAAGTAGCATTCTGACATATTCAGGCACTCCATGTCCATGTGCCTCACAAGCAAGGCAGCGCACCTTGCCTGGTGCTTGGCCCTTATGGTCGCGGTGCCCGTGCAGGGCTTACGACCAGCCATTGACAAGGCATGGACGACAGCCATGTCTGAGGCCACAAGCGCGCAAGACAAGGATCAGGGGATGACGGAAGGAGACAGCTGCTGCTGCCAAGCAGCTCTAGGGGATAGCCGGTTTCAGATGGAGGGAGGTAGTTGCGAGATCCTGAAGCACGAACACCCAAGTCGACCTCACTGGTTTTGGCAGACTGAGAAGCGATGCTGCTGGCCGCAGAACCAGCTCCTTAGGGGTACTTAGGAATAATTTTGAATCTTTGGTTACTATAAACCCTAAGAAGCAGCTAAAATCCCTAAACCCTAAATCCTAAACCCCTTTTGCTAGGGGTCTAAGTTCAGTATAGGCTCTTCTGCGTCATGCCGAACCTGCTCGACCTCTTGGGAGGCTTCGGCTCCCATGGAGGGGTCGTCAGCGAGGAGACCCTAAACCCTAAACCCTAAAACCCTAAACCCGGAACCCTAAACCCTAAACCCTAAACCCTAAACCCTGAACCCTAAGCCCTGAACCCTAGCCCTAAACCCTAAACCCTAAACCCTAAACCCTAAACCCTGAACCCTGAACCCTAAACCCTGAACCCTAAACCCTACACCCTAAACCCTAAACCCAGGAGAAGTGGTGCCCCACTCGGAGCTCTCCCGCTGGAAATGTGCGGGTTCCCGACCTGCAGGCTGCTAGGACCAAGCTCGAGTCCGAGCGCCGCATGACCAAGTCCGTCATCTTCATCGCCGCCAAGCTCGCCTGGGGGCTTGGAACCTAAACCACAAAAACCCCTAAACCCTAACCCCTACACCCTAAACCCTAAACCCTAAACCCTAAGCCCTAAACCCTACACCCCCTACACCCTAAACCCTAAGCCCTAAACCCTGAAGGAGCAGCGGGGTTCGAGGGCAGCCACACTGGGGACGTGAAAGACATCATCGACCAAGCGCGGGATGCTCAAAGTGGCGTGACGAATGCCGTACTTAAGGAACAGACCTTAGGTTATAGCGGGATCCCTAATATGATTTAAGGTATTTCCTGAATTCAAGGAACAGACCTTAGGTTCGAGTGGGATCCCTTATATGACTTTAAGGTATTTTCCTGAATTCAAGGAATAGACCTTTGGTTCTAGTGGGATCCCTAATATGATTTAAGGTATTTCCTGAGTTCAAGGAATCGACATTAAGTTGTAGTAGGATCCCATATATGGTTTAAGGAATTTTCAAGTTGTAGTGGGATCCCTAATATGGTTTAAGGTATTTTCCTGAATTCAAGGAATAGACATTAAGTTGTAGTGGGATCCCTAATATGGTTTAAGGAATTTTCAAGTTGTAGTGGGATCCCTAATATGGTTTAAGGTATTTTCCTGAATTCAAGGAATAGACATTGTTGTAGTGGGATCCCTAATATGGTTTAAGGTACCTATTCGGACCCATTCCATAATAAGGGGGATACTCTCCAAGGTGCCGTGAGTGCCGTGGCGGGAGCAACGGCGCCCACGGACGGAGTTCTCTCGGGTCCCGGTGGCGAATGCCCAGGGGGTGTTAGCTGGGATTACAAAGGCAGCAAGACCCTAAATGCCGGTTTGGGATAGTTTTTCATACCTCCTTGGTTTTTGGTTTGACTAAAGTCGAGCTCTATCTCGTTTTGGTTAAATCAGTATAGAACCCGATCTTTTTGTCGTGCCGGGGGGGAGGGGGGGGGGGGCGGGGCGCTGTTGAAATCGACATCCAGGACGGGGTTGTCCGCGCGGTTGCAGGTTGCCTGGGAGGCCTTTGGACTCTGGGACGGGAACTTGCACGATGCTTGGTTCTTGTTAAGGAAGTTGATTCAAGTTACCATCATCGGGATCGAAAGGGTTTAGGGTTTAGGGTCATTTTAAAGTTGCCATATTCGGGATCTATACTAAGCCTTCTTTCCTATTTATGACACCTTACGGGCCCTAAACCCTAAACCCTAAACCCTGAAGTTGCTGAACAAGAGCTGAGGATGACTGGCTTGTCCTTCAGCGAGTTGATGAAAAGTGCCACTGGGAGATTTATGATCCGGAGGACTTTGGGTTTGGGGTTTAGGGGTTTAGGGGTTTTGGGGTTTTGGGGTTTTGGGGTTTAGTGTTTAGGGGTTTAGGGGTTTAGGGTTTAGGGGTTTAGGGGTTTGGGGTTCAGGGGTTTAGGGTTTAGGGATTTAGGGTTTAGGGTTATGATCCGGAGGACGCTCCGCGGCCCCATTGCAGTACCTTCCTGAAGCTGAACGTGAAGGGGAGGCAGGCGAACATATGTTTCAAGCTGCAGGAGAATGACAGGCCGCGTGTGGTGGGCATCCATGATCCCCAGTTTGACGCGTACAATCCAGATGTTGGAGTACGCCAGGTGGAGTGGCAAGTGTTTGACACACGTAGGAATAGGAATGTTTAGGTATCCATGGCCCTGAAGACTACAACACCAGCTACGGATTTTCGGTAAGATTACAACACTGGATACGACTTCCAGCGGGACTTGATACCTTATCGCCCCCCCCTCTCCCCCCTGAAAGGTCGAGTGGTACTGGGAACAGAAGGTCGAAGGCAAGGTGAAGCGAAAGCAAGGATGCTACACTCTCATGGGCGCAAACCTACATGAGGTCAGCCCTTGCCCGGATTACGTCCTCAAGGAGCTTGGGGCCTATTGTCACGGAGTTTATTGCGTCGGCACTGCCGGGAAGAGGATCCCGTGCCCTTCAGACATCCGTTGTCCCTAGTGGAAGCTTCTCGCAAAAGGGGCGCGTGCCCTGACCCGGCCTTGGCTTGGGTGGAAGTGCGCCCAAAAAGGCCTTCCTGCAGAGAATAGCAGCGTCTGACGCTGCCGTGCGGAGGGCGCAGACATGTGCAGAGAGAAAGGTGCAATTTCGGCCTTGCTGCCTGCATAGCAGTTGCTCGTCACTTGCTGCATCTTGCACCAGCGCCCAGCGCCTTCCTCAGCCTTGCTGGGACAGCCCACCTTCCACTAATATAGGCCTAAATAATTACCTACACTATTTCGGGGGGTTCCTTATTATAGTTATAGTACAATATACCCCAAAGCCGTATTCTAATTCTAGGAAACATACCTTTAGGTGGGTGCAGGGCTTGGGGTTTTAGTGTAAGGATAGCGCAGCCCTCATTTTCATAAACCTTAAAACCTTAAGCCACTATTCCTCTATGAAGGGATGGGGTCTCTGCCCCGAAACCCAAAACCCTAAACTCTAAACCCTAAACCCTGAACCCTAAGCCCTAAACCCTATGTCTATGTGTGTGTATATATATATATATATGTATATGTATATATATATATATATGTATATGTATGTGTATA